CCCCACAGCGTGTCACACGAGGCGACGAGAAGCGTCGCGGCGAGCGCCCCCGCGACCACCGGCCGGGACACCGCCGCCAGGGCCGTCGGGGGCCCGCCCGCGGCCATGGCGATCGAGGAGACGAGCGCGACGGCGAGGACGGCGCGCCGGAGGGCCGCCGCGGGGGGCGTGTCGTGCCACCGGTATGCATCCGCGGCGGGGTTGGCGGAGCCGTTGTTGCTCTCGTTGATTCCCCAGCGGGGGCGGGACAGCAGGCGCAGGGAGAGGTTGCCGATCCCGAGGCCGGCGAGACCTCCCAAGACCAGCCCCGACACCTGCGTATTGCGTGCACGTGTACATGAAATTGCTTGTGTTTCCTCTTTTTTCTGGCTATTAAAACAAGACCCCAGGACGCGGCGGAATTATTCTCGCGTCGGGTATACTCGCACCCGATCCGTCCAACTTTCCAACACCGTTCAGAAGGAACCGGGAGCTTCACCATTAATGATTCATGCAATGCATGATGTACTCCACCTCTGCTTGCGTGTGGCACGCGCTAACATTGCATCCCGCTGTGTCTTGACGCACTCAGTTTCCTTCGTCGGGTTTTGCGATTAAGTAAACATGTTGGATAAAGCATGCAATCAAGGAAGTTGGGTTAGGGTTAGGTAGGCTCTGCGTCACCCCCTGTGTTATTTCCTGATAAACCTAACAACCTCGCGAAGGCGGTTCGACTCGTTTCCGTTGGTGAGAAACCGATACTGAAACCCCGTCGACCTCAAGGAGAAAAACAAACGGGAAAATGTAACATAACATCTGTAGTCGCACGCACGCATGCATATACCCAAGGGAGAACAACAGCATTGCTAGCCGCACGCACGCACGCACGCACGCACGCGCGGTCACACCCTCACCTCTGGCAGCGGCCCCACGGCGGCTCCGTTCTCCAACAGAAGGAGGCCGACGCGCAGCAGCGACGCGCTGCAAGTTACTAGCGCTGCCGTGGCCCTCCACTCCCCGCCCCCAACGGCCAGCGCGTCGCCGCTGCCTCCGACTCCCGCGGCCAGGAGCACTACCATGAAAGCCGGGCCGGGCGGGGGGCAGCTCCCGGAGAGCAGCCCGCCCGTAAGGCTCGCCACCGACAGAACGCCTGGAGAGTGGAGAACCATGACAAAACACACCCACCAATCAAAACACGCGTTTTTCGCTCTAACCTAAAAATGGGGGGTGGTGGAAGGTTGACGGGGTTTCGAGAGGAACCGAGGCCACTCGATCGATGGGCGGAAGAGGGAAACAAAAACTATCGTGAGCAAAATATTCAACGGTTGTGTGTGGGGCTGCGAACTGCACCCGCCGCGGCGTTCAAGGGCATCGAATTGTTACTCGCCTGTCCATTTCCACGAGCGTGAGGATTCGCGGTCGTCGTCAGGCTCTCGCACCGACGTTTCGTGCCGACAGTCCTGTTGTTCGAGACACGCGCACACCGAAGACCACAAGGAGAGTACGCTGTCGAACGGCATACACTTGTCTGGAGAACGAACAACTCTAAGACACACGGTGGTTGTTGTACCGAACAGCCGCCGTGGGATCGAGCACACACATAGTATAAAGAGAGAGAGAGAGAGAGAGAGAGTCGACCTCTCTGTGTCTTGCTCACCGCCAGCTCCATCCAGAGTTTTGCCAGGGAGAGCCCGAAAAGGCAGGCACCGAGGGCGGGCACCAGGGCCGCCAGCACGGAGACGGAGAAGACGTTCAGGGACAGCACCACGCCGATGAACGTCAGGGGCAGCGTGTTGAGGAGAAGCGCCCCATTAATCAACCGCCGCAGGAGCACCGCCTGCGTGAATTGTTGGTCAGAACCGACGAAACCAATTGTCGGGTCGCTAGGGGGTCAAAACCATGCCATCCGTGACGTGTAGCGCGGGTGGTCTATACTGCCAACAGGCGAGTTCTTGCACATGTGAACAGCGAACAAACATGGGATAACCTGCTGTGACTGGACGCTGTTGGGGGCATATATTCCGTATCTCATAGGATGGGGTTCACGCACGCAGCGGTGTGAGGAACAGGGACACGCTGTGGTGATATGTAGACTCTTTGCTGTACTCTGTGCAACAAGCATCGCGTCTTCTTAGAGTAGGGTCGTGCGAGGGTTGCGTGAAGCCATAAGTACTGATAAGTCTTCCTGTTTCGCAAGGTTATGGGTGTTGACACGACGCCAGCTGGGTCTTGGGAGTGTTTTGAGACAAGCAGACTGGTGCATGTTATAACGATATCCTGATTTCCAGCTGGGCTTGAGATGGCACTGGTGTTCATTGATGTCAATCAGTGGCATCTTCAATGCTAGTTTTTGAGGCGTGGAGCTCCATGGTGAAGTGTGTCTACTGTTGCAAAAACGTTTCTAGAGAGATCGATATTGGCTCCATCCGGAGGACTTTGGATTTTACACGAGGACACCAGCTTCTCCAATGCTGGTTGATCAGCGAGTCTGCGCGGTGGATGGCAGCATGGCGTATATGGCGGATAGCAGAGCAGCAGCCAGACGACGTAATTACGCCGCACAATGTGCGGTGTCGTACTGCCGTAGCATAGGAGTGTAATGGACGGTGTGGGCATGTCTTTCTTAACGTGCTGGTAGAGACGGCCAATTCCCCACCGTCCCTTCCATGCTGGGGGTGTTGTTCCTGCTGCGCGTGCGGCAGCTCTGCTCTACTGTTGTAGCGAGAGGTGGTGACAGCCGTGACACGCAGTGGCACGACAATCTTCATTAATCTTGCCGCAGCTGTGTAACCAGCAGTATTAGACCGAGACATACAGGCAGGAAAGCTTTCTGGTCCTGCCCATTTGGATGTAATGAAGATATGTTGAGGCTAACCTGAACAGCCGTCACCAGCCCCGCTGAAAATCCCATGTTGATCGCCGAGGACGCATCGAACGCACTGCTGTCCGGTGCCATTTCAGTCAAAATCTCTCGCGCGGAATCGCAGTCGAATCCCGTGATTGCCACAGAGAGCCCTGACAAGAAGGACAATGTGCCGTGCATTAGGAGTCCAGCAGCCATCGTCTCCGCCCCCTCCTCTATCCGCCGCTCCTCCTCTTGTCTGGTGCAAACACAAGTAGCGTGCGAGAGAGACAGTCAAGCAGTCGAGTGTGCAGTTTGCAGGCCAAGCCAGCGTCGCGGGGAGAAATGATGGCGATGATTCTGCGGTGCCCCTTGCGGAGCGAAAGCGGGACGCGCTGCACACCCATGACATGATCCAGCTATCCAGTAGCTTGAGAGAGATCGGGCATGGAGCATGGTCTACGGCTCCCATGGTGGGAATTCCGGCCAGCCGACTTCGCCTTGCCCGGCACCGTCGTACCGCACGATTCCCGAGAAGAAGAGCTACTGGCCAGCTTTCTTCAGGCCGGTGCTAGGGCGGAGACAGCGGACTGCTTCGTCTCTGGTGTGTTGCGCTGACTCTGACCGATGCAGAGGAACTGTATTTCGTTGCAGCCCTTGAGCAGGCGCTACGGGTACTGGGGAGTGATATGAACGTCATACGCGTAGATAGTAGTGATATTAAAATGGAGCGTTGGCATATATTGTTCACCACCCCCACTCACCCACGAGCCACGGCTGTTGTCACACTTTCCAGCGAATTGGAATTTGTTTACGGAGGGTTACAGAAGATATCACACCTCTGGACTGATTTTGAATTTTGAAAGTTCTACTACTCCACGTCGAAGAGGAAATAGAAATCAAACGATGCGTGTCCGAAGAGCCCTCGATGAGCCGGTTCCAACACCGCATGAGTAGGTAAGGTGCCACCCTGGAATGGCAAGTCAGTTTTCATATGTTTCAGGATTCGTACAAGCGACACGAGTTAACCATTTGGGAAAGAAAACCACAGCTCTTTGGAACGGCGTGAATAGACTTCTGCGCCAATGTACACTATTGGAAAAGACCTGGTGTTTTTTGTATGGACCTCGAGAGTAAGTGGAAGCTGCTCCAACTTTTCCCAGCTGTCTTCTCACACTACACAGAGGCGCACGCAAGTAGAATTTGCAAACCCCTCATCGTCAACCGCATCGCCGCCTTTCTCGTGCCTGTTTCATCGCTTCACAACACCGAAGCCAACAGCTTGAACGTGGCCGGGGTGCTGAACGCCCTCAGCCAAGAGGAGCTCGTGCTGCCGGCCGCGAGGTCGGGGTCGGCGGGTTATAGAAGCCACCAAACGCCCCACAAAGCGAATCTCGGTTCTGCAGAGCTTCCGCAGCTCGCCTGGTGAGATACATCCCCCCCCCCCCTCCCCACTAACGTCTTCGACTTGCACGCAGAGAGTAGGGTTGAGAGCACGCTTGCGGCACTCACACACTGTATGGCTTTCCCTCTTGCGCAGCACACTCTCAAGCTTTTTAGAATTCAGGTGTACAATTCGGCTGCTGCAGGGCAGTTCGCCCTCTCCACCGACAGTTCCCCCTCGAAGGCATAGTTCCTTTGAAGCTTCTCGCTCTTGAAGCTTGCTTGAATGAAACCAAGCCCGCTTTTTATCGCAGCGGTTCATACAAATATAAATATCCCTGCACTGAGGTTAAGCCGTGTGCTTTATGTCCACACCACGGGCGACAGCAGCAGTAGAAATTCCCCCCAGTACAGTATACGTATAGCCTTCATGCTGCTCGTAAATAAAATGCGACACAGCAGAGTTTATCGCGGTCTTCCTGACGACGACCACGCCTTCTGACCTGGTGTCCAACGCCCCCCCCCACCCCCTTTCTAGTCGAAGCCGGCTTTTCGGGATGCCGCTGGCTGACCGCCACGCCGCGCTGACCGTGGCATGCTCCCTGAGGCACAGGCTGCCCCGGCGGGCGCTGGTGAATTTTTGTTGTCGCCTAATCCTGGGGAAAGACATCGGGCGGTTGCCACCAGGATCGTCATCAGAGGTACGGTTGGATTTCTCGCTGAACACACCTCGAGGAAGTTGATGCAGGTTGCACTCGGGCGTGCCCTTCGTATTTTTTTGCCGCACTGCGCGTACGGAGGCTGGTCCGCGCGGACAAGGGTCTGGGGTTCGCCGTTCTAATTTGGACGGTTTGCTTTGCACGCGTGTCTCGTACTTGCTGAGCGACAACTGCTGGCGAGTCTGCGCTCTGTCAGAGGGACACACGCAGCCCCCAACAGCCTCCATCTTGTTTTCCAGCACTCGCTACATCTACCGTTGCGAGTGCGCTCGGGCCGTCGGGTTCGTTTGCTGTTTCGTGACTTCCCACCAAGTTAGCCTTAGCCCGCTCTCCTTCTTCTCGGTTTTCTGGGACGCGTCTTGAGAGACCAGCGTGCGGCATAAATTTCACCCCTTGGGGGTCGTTGCTGCTAGACGAAACTGGCGCCGCGAACTCGTATTTTGTGAGCCTCAGTCTCTCATCGAAAATGCGTTCGACGATTTTCCGGCAGGCATACAACGGGCGTCGAGACCCTCCCACAGATCAAATCCCTCCCGGGGCTTGCCGGCGGCAAGGAGGAGGCCGGGGCTTGTGCGTCTGTGGAGGACAGCTATCATTGGGGAGGAACACGGGGGCCTCGCCTGAACTCGAAGGAGGCTCGGCGGAGACACACATGAGGCATTTCGTGTCCCCGGACGATGTGGCAGCAGCAGGGGGAGCGGCTGCTGCTGCTGCTGCTGTTATGGAGACACCGCCGCCTACGGCGTGCCGATCGTGCCTAGGGAGGAGGGTATGGCTGGACCCGGGGTCCGCGCGACTGTTGGTCGTGGCATGTCACAAGGTGAACTCCCAACAACAGCAGTTTTGTTTTTGGGCCTGCGCTGGGGTGCACTTGCTTGGGGTGTAGCTTTGGGGTGAGGTATGTAGATGATTCCCTTTTTTGTGATTTCTTTGCTTCTGCTGCGTGGCAAGGATTGACGCCGCGGTTGTTGCAGCGGTTCAACCGGTTTCCAACTACCTTGGTGTGCGTGAGCGGGGCCTTGTGTCCTCCACGGTCGTGTTTGTAGCCTTCGTGCAGGGGTTCCTCTCTTCCTCAAGAACCACCTTCGAGCTCCAGTACACACAATAAGGTTGGGTGTGTTTTGGTTTTTGGGTGTTTGTTAATTTTCGGTTTTGAGGACGCAATATTTCCACTCCAACACACAAGTTTCTGAATAGCAACAGCTCTTTTAAGCATCTCCAGCCACCCTTGGTCGATAGAACCCCCCCATCCAAGAGACGTGGGAACTGAAGGATGGGGACGTGGTAAGCAAAATAGGGAAGTGCCGGTGGGTAGGGAAGGCAAGAAAGGGCTTAGACCCGAAGAAAAGGGGGGAGGGGGGAGTCGGATTCCTGGTCAAGGAACACTTGTTTGACGTGGTGGAAGTAGTGGTGAAAACGGAGTTCGAGGAAAGCCTATGGCTTAAGATACATGGGGAGCGGGGTGAGAAAGATTTGTTTCTAGGGAACGTATACGTCCCACCGTCGTCGAAGAAAGTCGCAAGCAAGGCGCAGGAGAACTTCGGACAAATTGGGGAAGATGTCCAGAGGTTCAGTAGGAAGGGAGAAGTTGTCATGGTGGGCGATTTCAACTCCAGAGTAGGGAAAGCTTGCAGTAGAGGACAGGCGATCGGGCAGCACGGAGAAGACAAAGTGAATGACAACGGAGTGAGGATGCTTGAATTCTTGGGAAGCAACGAGCTGATGGTGTTGAACGGTAGGAGGGAAAGCGATAAGCCGGAGTTCACCAGGCAGAGGGCAGTTTGCAATGAATACTCGATCCTCGACTACATCCTGGTAGATAGGGGGAGCACACAGGTCCCGGAGCTGCACGTAAGTGCAATAGATATAGGTTCGACCGACCATTTCCTCATATGGGCAAACATCGACCGATCTAGAAAGACGGAGAGTAAGAAAAAGAGGAAAGTGTTCCGGTGGAAAGTAGAGCGTTTGGGAGACAAGGGGACACGTGATGAATTCCAGAAGGGATTGGCTGGTAGTGTAGAACCCTTCAGGAAACTGCTGAGAAGCGTCGAAGACGGAAAGGTAGACGCACAAGCAGCAGGGGACAGGGTGATTGAAGGATGGGAGTCCATAGTGAACACAACGGCAGAGAGAGTAGTGGGAAAGAAGGTGGTACGATGTGGGGTATCGGTTAAGTGGTGGGATGACGAGCTGAAAGAAGAAATAGGGGAACGTAGAGAAGTCTTCAAGCAGTACCTGGGTGAGGGGTCTGAAGAGAGTTGGGAAAAGTACAGGGCCAAGAGGAAACAGGTGAAGGGACTAGTGAAAACGAAGAAAAAGAGCATTTGGGACGAAGTAGTGCAGAAGGCCAACGGAGGCCTGGAGGGGAACGTCAAGCAGATGTGGGAAGGGATTAGTGGGATGGTAAAAAAGACCGCGCAAGGGGGGGATACAGGGGTAGCAACATTGCGAGGTGTGAACGGTGGACTAGTCAGCAGTGGGAAGGGAAAAAGGGAAGTTCTAGCAGGACACTACAAGAGACTTGGAGTGCCTTCGGAGAATGAAGATTTTGACCAAGTGCTTAAGAAGGAGGTGGACGCATGGGCCCAGAAAGAAGAAGAGACATCGAAGGCAGACGTTGGGAACGTAGAACTAGAAAAAGAGTTCACTGAGGACGAGGTTGAGGCGTGTGTGAACAAGCTGCAGTGCCACAAAGCAGCAGGGGCGGATGGGATAGTAAACGAGTTCATGAAGTTTGGGGGGAAGGGGATGATCCAGCTGATGGTACTGTTGTACAACTGGGTGTGGAAAAACGAGTATGCGCCAAGTAGATGGAGGGAAGGAGTGGTTGTGAACCTGTTTAAGAAAGGAGACAAGACTGACCCAGGAAACTACAGGGGTATCACACTGTTGAACACAGTAGGAAAAGTGTTTTGTAAGCTGCTGAACGATAGGATAGTGGTAGTACTGGAGAAGAAACGTAGCATTAGTGAGGGCCAGGCAGGTTTCCGACAGAAGAGGGGGTGCGTAGACCACGCATTCACGGTAGGGAGAATCATCCAAGGTAGAAAGAGGGCGGGAAAGCGGACGTACTGCTTCTTCCTGGACGTGAAAAAGGCATACGATACCGTATGGAGAAATGGGCTGTGGAAACAATTGTCCAAGTACGGGATCAAGGAGAAAATGTGGAGGGTGCTGAAGAAGATGACAGAGTGTACGAAAAGCGCGGTCATGCTAGACGGAGAACTTTCTAAATTCTTCGACATTGAGCAAGGGGTCCCACAAGGTTGCACGCTGTCCCCAACATTGTTCCAGGTGTTCATCAACGATCTGTTGGAAGTCGTAGAGGCAGTCCGGAAGGGAGTAAAAGTAGGAGACACGGAAACTTCGGTGTCAGGAATGCTGTTTGCGGATGACTTTGTTGGTATGTCGGACACCCCTGAGGGACTGCAACTGCAAATTGACGCGGCGAAGAAGTTTACTGATAAGTGGAGATTGTCTGCCAACGTTGCGAAGAGTGCCGTCATGGTATGCAACGAGGGCAGGGAGGAACCAGTAGAACATAGATGGAAGTGGGGGATCGAGGAGATTGCAGTAGTGGACCAGTACACATACCTCGGAGTAGAGATCGCAAAAGATTGCTCGTGGAATGCACACATGTCCAAGGTAGCGGAAAAGGGCAAAGCACGAGCAGGGAAGCTGCACCCAATACTCGCAAACCGGCACCTTGATACACGCATCAAACTGACGGTTTTGAAGAGCGTAATCGTACCCGCCGCTAGAGTACGCCGGAGAAGTATGGGAAGGAAATAAGAAGGTAGTGAAAGAACTCGAGGCGGCGCAGATGAAAGCAGCGAAAATCATCCTAGGATGCTCCAAGCGCACAAGTAATGCAGCAGTCAGGGCAGAATTGGGGATCCAATCCCTACGGTCGGGAAGAGACGTAAGGAAGCTGACATGGCAGTATCGCATGTGCGGGATGGGAGAGGAGAGGTTGCCGAGAATAGTATGGGAGGCGAAGTGGGCAAACAAAAAGAGGGGTAGACAACCCACGGAATGGGTCAAGGTTGTAGAGGACGTATGGAAGGGATTGGACATCGACGAAGATGCAACGCTGGAAACGGAGGGTCTACAGGGGTTCAAGAAGAAGATATCTGTTGCTTGTGCCGACAGAGAAGGAACAGAATCTAAGGAAAGAATCCAAGGATAAGGAGGGTCTAGAAGTGTACGGAATGTTGAAAGAAGGAATAGGGTTCAAGGATTACCTACATGGACCAATGGATGCAGGGACAAAGCTTAAGGTCAAATTCAGGACCGGGGACATAGGCCTTCGCGAACGTTGACGAAGACATAGGACGGTAGACGACGAAGACGACAAGTTCAAATGCGATTGCGGCTTCGAATGCGAAGACAGTGTTCATGTAGTCGCGGAATGTCCGTGGTACGAAAAGGAGAGGGAAGTGTACATGACTGAGCTGGGAAGAATACAAGGGACGTACAGGGAGATGTTTGAGGCATGGAATAGAGAGGAGAGGACGGTAGCGGTACTGGGGAGTAGAAAGTGGTTTGAAAAGGCGGGAAGGGACATCGGTAGGATAGACAAACTAGGGAAGACATTTTTGAGCCACCTTTGGCAAAGTAGGAAGGAACGATTGGCCATCGGTGATCGGTCCTGTGGGAACAATGCTCCGTCCTCTCGAGGACGCGTGGTCAATGGTCTAACCGCTAAGGCATGCAAAGCATAAGAGTACGCCCCCCCCCCCCCCCTTTTCTCCGTTTTTCCGCTGAGCCAACTGTGTTTCCT